GAAAAATAAAAGTCCAAAGTGGTAGCACATGTAACATACCACACGCAAATTATATTGCATTGATATATTTTAATGCATCTGTAATGGTATTGTTATTGCTAATCTTTTGTAAACCATATGTGTATGTATATCTGTACTTCCTATACTGTATCATTATTGTATTTGTCCAATAAATTATCTTGTAATACTTATACACTTTTCGAATCTCCTATTCCTTCCTATACCTCCATCACTCTCCTCCTAGCATATCCTTAAAAATTAAGTTGTTAAAAAGTCCTTTGGAAAAATAAAAGTCCAAAGTGGTAGCGCATGTAAAATACAATACGTATATTATATTGTGGTGATATATTTTAATGTATCTCTAATGGTATTGTTATTGCTAATCTTTTGTAAACCATATGTGTATGTATATCTGTACTTCCTATACTGTATCATTATTGTATTTGTCCAATAAATTATCTTGTAATACTTATACACTTTTCGAATCTCCTATTCCTTCCTATACCTCCATCACTCTCCTCCTAGCATATCCTTAAAAATTAAGTTGTTAAAAAGTCCTTTGGAAAAATAAAAGTCCAAAGTGGTAGCGCATGTAAAATACAATACGTATATTATATTGTGGTGATATATTTTAATGTATCTCTAATGGTATTGTTATTGCTAATCTTTTGTAAACCATATGTGTATGTATATCTGTACTTCCTATACTGTATCATTATTGTATTTGTCCAATAAATTATCTTGTAATACTTATACACTTTTCGAATCTCCTATTCCTTCCTATACCTCCATCACTCTCCTCCTAGCATATCCTTAAAAATTAAGTTGTTAAAAAGTCCTTTGGAAAAATAAAAGTCCAAAGTGGTAGCGCATGTAAAATACAATACGTATATTATATTGTGGTGATATATTTTAATGTATCTCTAATGGTATTGTTATTGCTAATCTTTTGTAAACCATATGTGTATGTATATCTGTACTTCCTATACTGTATCATTATTGTATTTGTCCAATAAATTATCTTGTAATACTTATACACTTTTCGAATATCCTAATCCTTCCTATATCTCCATCACTCTTCTCCTAATATATCCTTAAAAACTAAGTTTTTAAAATATCTTTTGGAAAAAGAAAAGTCCAAAGTGGTAAATAGTAATGTAATGTATCCAAAGTCCATGTAACATACCACGCGTATATTATATTGCAGTGATATATGAAATATATTTTTAATGGTACTGTTGTTGTTAATCTTTCGCAAGCCATATACGATGTATGTACATCTGTACTTTG